CCCACGACTTCCTTCATACCAGGCGAGGTAGTTAACATCTCCTAGCCACCGTGATGATGATGAGAGAGAGACACGCAAACTCCAAATATACAGCAGCAGGCGTCAGGGTCGGGATCGAACCCACGACTTCCTGCATACCAGGCGAGGTAGTTAACATCTCATAATCACCGTGATGATGATGAGAGAGAGACACGCAAACTCCAAATATACAGCAGCAGGCGTCAGGGTCGGGATCGAACTCACGACTTCCTGCATACCAGGCGAGGCAGTTAACATCTCCTAGCCACCGTGGCGCCCAGCAGCTCTGTGCCTTATTGTGACTTAGCGATTCAATCTCCATCCAATTGGGGTAGGTGGCGGGGGGCTAAAATATGTTCCGGAACTCCGCCCTGTACATAACTGGCTTAATCTAAGCCAGCGGTCGGGAACCTATGGCTCGCGAGCCATATATGGCTCTTCCGGTGACGGCATATGGCTCCCAGACGATTTTGAGTTTAAAAAAATAATTTAAAAATAATAATAAAAAAATACAAATAAAATCAGTTTGGAACTGATTTTAAAATACTTGTGATATTGCTTAATAATACTGTGTCATTTTAAAGTAAACAGAAATTAGTTTTGAAGATAAATTTCACGGGTCACGGGTCCCGTGACCAGAAGTCGCATTAAAAGTAAGACATATTTAATTTATTATACGTTAAAAATACTATATGGCTCTCAATGAAAGATATTTAGAAATATTTGGCTTTTATGGCTCTCCCAGTCAAAAAGGTTCCCGACCCCTGATCTAAGCCCTGTTTACAATACTCTCCGGCTACTTTAAATGAATCAAATGCCTACCAGCATCGGTGTGCGGTGGCAGTGGTTTAAACATCGGAAGCTTCCCGCTTCGGTCGGTATCCTACTTTTTTGTTTTACAATTAAGATACGATTTGAAGAAGCCGACGTAGATTATCACAACGCGTGCGTTTGGATCCGTGTATTGTGACGTGACCGGGGGGGGGGGGGGTAGCTGAGAGCTCAGAGCGCTGAGTCGACACTGCTAAGGTTTCAGTCGCCTGACTTGATGGTTATGTCAGCACGGACACCAATGACTGCACACACACATCAGAACCAATATTCCCATCGGATAATTGTTTTTTTTTAGCTACGCAACTCAAAATGGCACATATTTCATCCCCGAGTGTTAAGGACATCGGTGTGACTCGTTGTAATGCGATCGAACGTTACTCTCATATGGCAGAGCAAGTGGTGAAGTGATGCCCTCTACCGCGTGCAAAGCGGAGCGTCACTTGAAGAAGAAGTAAGAAGGGAACTCGGTGGTTGTTCTGTGATATCCGCTTCCGTGGGTGCTTCCCTTAGGGGCCGTCCATAAATGACGTCACGCGATTTTGAACGATTTTTTACCCCCCCCCCCCCTTCGTCACACGGCGTCACAAAAAGTCAGACCCCCCCCCCTGAAATTTGACGTCACAAAGCTCTGCCCCCCCCCTCCCCCCACAAAAAATAAAACATGCTTCGAATCGCTTTGAACTATTGTCATTGTAGAGCGTATTTAATGTGGCGCTGCACTCTGATGTTGTAGGAAAAAACATTTAATAAAAAGTCTATTTAATTAAGTAGAACGTGTTGTCTATATTTATTTAAAGTTGCGCATTTTGATGGTTATCTGTGTCGTGTGGTGGCGGGTTAAGACACATTTATACTTACGCGATCTAACCCAAACACCTTTATTGTGTACAAATATTTCTTCTCATTTATGAGTTTAACAGTGATTCCCTTTTTGTTGTTGATGTTGCAGCTTCGCGAATGTTATAACACTAAACCCGTATGTGCCCTGAAATAGAGAGTAGGTCATTGTACTCTGACTTACGAATAGGTTGAATGACGAAACGGGTCTCGGGAACGAACTTCGTTTGTAAGTCGGGAACGACCCGTGACTCGGATTCTACCGCGGGATCAACGCCTCTCACGGCGGAGGAAGAGGGGGGGGTGTTGGAGAGTAAGCTGAGGGATTATCATCAGCAGTAGATAGATCATGGTCTACACAGCCACACGCACACACAGCCACACACACACAGCCACACACACAGCCACACACACAGCCACACACACACACAGCCTCACACACACAGCCACACACACACACACAGCCTCACACACACAGCCACACACACAGCCTCACACTCACATCCATACACACACAGCCTCACACTCATAAAGACACGCAACACACACACGTATAACCACACAGACACACAGCTTCACACTCACATCCATACACACGCAGCTTCACACTCATAAAGACACGCACACACACACAGGTTTACACTCACAGCCATACACACTCACAGCCACACACAGCCACACACAGACACACACTCACACACTCACAGCCACACACACACTCACAGCCACACACACTCTCACAGCCACACACACTCATAACCACACAGCCACACACAGCCACACACACTCACAGTCACACACACTCACAGTCACACAGCCACACACAGCCATACACACTCACAGCTACACACACACACAGCTACACACACAGCCACACACAGTCACACACACACAGCCACACACACAGCCACACACACACAGCCACACACACTCACAGCCACACACACACATAACCACACAGCCACACACACACAGCCACACACACACACAGCCACACACACTCACAGCCTCACACACACATAACCACACAGCCACACACACAGCCACACACACTCACGGTCACACAGCCACACACTGCCACACACACTCACAGCTACACACACACACTGCCACACACGCAGCCACACACACACACAGCCACACACACTCACAGCCACACACACACATAACCACACAGCCACACACACAGCCACACAGCAACACACACACACAGCCACACACACACACACACAGCCACACAGCCACACACACACTCACAGCCACACACACACACAGCCACACACAGTCACACACACACAGCCACACACACAGCCACACACACACAGCCACACACAGTCACACACACACAGCCACACACACAGCCACACACACACTCACAGCCACACACGCAGCTTCTCACTCACAGCACATGGCTCGCCACGTGTGTCTCTCTCTCTCTGAGCCACACGAGCTCGCGTCTTGCCGGGAGGGGCGGGGGGTACAAAAGCGACGCGGATTCGATTCCCGCTGAGCTGGCTCGAGAGGCGGCGACGACGACACCACCCCCCCCCCCCAATCGCACGTGTCCTGACCAAATAACGCACTTCACGAGCACGTGCGCATCATCGCCACCGCCACCGTCGTCGTAATGACAATACGCTTAAGCTGCGTCAGGCTCACGAAAGCACACGCATCGGTCAGGTTCTGTGTGCGAGTGTGCGTGTGTGTGTCTTCGGTTGGACTCGGCACTCAAGGTTGTCGGGCGGCCGTGCCGCTGGGCACCCACCCACCCACTTCGTGTGCTGGCTAACAGCACTTGCCCCAAGTGTCTGTAAAGGCTATAAGGGGGGAGCGGGGGGCTTTATCTTTGTGCGAGACTAATAGCCGATTAACCCCGGGATGTAGGCATGGACATTCGCTTATTCACGTCAACGTTTGTGATTAATAAAATCAGCTCAAGCGAGGACGCAAAACCCTTTTGCGTCGTCACAAAATCCGCAAGTTCTCCCGACTTTCTGCACAATTGGCCACTTATTAACAACGGCAGCGGCGTCGTCATCATTTCCACCACCACCGCCGCCAACACCGATATCATCACCGATATCATCACCATCACCACCATCATCACCATCACCGCTCTCATCACCGCTATCATCACCATTACCGCCATCATCACCGATATCATCACCATCACCACCATCATCACCATCACCGCCGCCAACACCGATAGCATTACCATCACCGACATCATTACAATCATCACCATCACCGCTATCATCACCATCACCGCCATCATAACCATTACCGCTATCATCACCATCACCGTTATCATCACCATCACCGCCATCATCACCATCACGGCTATCATCACCGCCATCTCCAGCAACAGCGTTAGGGGTTCCGCCGTTCCGATTTAGTGCCTTTGCCGAGGTCATCTGCCCACCCAACAGCAATTTATATAAGCACAAAGCCCGACTCGGCTGATGAGACCCAGGCGGTCGGGGGCAGTCCAGAGGCTTTGCTTTGCTTAAAAAAAGCTGCTGGATAGTAGCCGGCTGGCAAGCACCGTACATAGGCGAGTGGACTAAAGACGTCTTTAATTCGTGATGCTGCGACACAACTGGGGAGATTCTGCCTCTGTATGCGCGTGAGGTGCCTATCTCTCAACACAGGAGGTTCGCGGTTCGACATCACGGCCGCCCTGGTTAACGCCGCGCCGGTGTATTAATCAAACAATTACGCGCCGGCTGCTTCAAAGTGGACGTTACATATTCCCCGCCCAGTGGGAACGTTGGTGGTAAACAGCGAGGAAGTCACGTGTGCTTGGAGGCGTCACGGTCCGAATTTTGCCACGAGTTTTAAACGAAAATAAAAGTAAAAACCACCTCGGGAAATTACTTAATTGGGTAAAACCACACCACGTGCATCGCCCCCCCCCCCCTCATTGGCACCGCAGCACGCGAGCAGAGCACCCCCTTCGTGACTTTCAAGTCTTGAGATTCGCCGAAGCATTTCCGAGTGCGAACGAGCGTAACGTCAAACAAACGGCGACCCGCGATCGTCAATGAATGAACGAATGAATATAAGCCAAAGCCCCCCCCCCCCCCAAACTCGGAGGTGCTCCCCGTGTTCCAGCAGGCATGGCGTGTCCGGATAAGCTTAATCTCGGCGGTGATGAGATTGGCCGGAGCCCCGCCGATTATCTTCCTCGCGGGGTCGTCGCAGGCGTAGCGTCGGTCGGGCTCTCGGCGCCAAGAGGAGCGTCGTTCGGGCCGCGCTGGCGACGCCGCGTGCCTCGCACGGGGGTCGAGGCGGGTGCCGGGACGAGGCGATCCGCGGCCCGCTCGGAGCCTCCTGGGCGAGCGCAGCGGTTCTGCGACGACGACGAAGACGACCTTCGGGTCGCGTGGACTCCACCGATCACCGCGCTCCTCTGCACGGGTTGAGCCGCACGCCCGGCCGCAACTGCGCGATCGAGTCCCGGCCGCGTCGGTTTCGCCACCTGTGGATCACCTGTCCGCCGAGTGACCGTCACCTGGCCACACGAGCGCGGCTTTGCCGCTGACCGCCGCGCGCTCTGCGTGGACGCAATGGGCACTGCGATCTCCGTTCAGAGCGCCTCGCAGGGGGGGGTCGAAGCGTGCATCAGCTCCGAGCCCCGCGCGCACGTCAACAACAACAACAACGCCAACAACAAAAACGGCGGTGCCGGCGAAGACGACGGTGGTTGTGGTGGTTGTGCTGGTGATGCTGCTGCTGCTGCTGGTGGAGGAGGAGGAAGTGACACCAGGGTGAAACACAACCGGGCCCGGACGGTTTTCATCACGGCGATCACGTTCAAAAATCTCATCGTGAGCGCGACGACTCGCAAGGTGCCGCCGAGTCGAGGCGCGTCTCCCCGCCGGCCCCCCGGCTCGTGCGAACACCGCCCAGCCGGAGCCGGGGCCGCGGCGCCCACAACCGACTCGTCCGACACGAAACCAAGGAGCGAGAGGAGCGTCAGCCTGCCGGTGGCCAGCCGCGAGCCGAGACGGCTCCTTCCTCCAGCCAGGACCACCACCACCGCCGCCACCACCGCTCCCACCGCTGCTCCCGCCGCCGTCGCGGCAGCCAACAACAACACAACCACTGCCACCACCACCGCCACCACCACTACCACCACCACCAGCAGCCCTCAACAGCTGATGGAGACGCTGCTCATGCGATCGTCCAGCGGTGATCTTCTGAACTGTCTGGGGACGCACTTGTGCAGGCGCTGCGCGCTGCTGCGCCACATCAGTCCCGCAGACCCCGTGCGCTGGCTCAGAGCGGTGGACAGGACCCTGCTGGAGCAGGGCTGGCAGGAGACGGCCTTCCTCACGCCGGCCAACGTGCTCTTCGTCTACATGCTGTGTCGCGAGAGCGTCTCGGAGCAGACGAGCAGCGAGGGCGACCTCCAGGCGTCGCTCCTGGTGTGCCTCTACTTGGCCTTCTCCTACATGGGCAACGAAATCTCGTACCCGCTCAAGCCGTTCGTCGTGGAGGCGTTCAAGGAGAGGTTCTGGGAGCGATGCCTGAACCTCATCGACTCGCTCAGCGGCCAAATGCTGCTCATCAACGCGAGCCCCACGTTCTGCATCGAGCTCCTGCGCGAGTTGAAGGGTGAAGGGAACGCGGAGGAGACGCGTGGGGAGAGGAGGACCATCAACTTGGACAGATGAGCGAGAGGACAGCGGCAGCAGACAGATAGATAAGAGCATCATGGGGAGGGGGCGGCGCGAAACGTCGTCGACAGCCGCTCCGGGTTTTTGTTTTGCTTTCGTCGCTGGCTCTGCTGCCGCGCGCGCAGGGAGATCGAACCCGGCGACCTCTGTGGAGTGCAAGTCAGCCAGTCGAACACGTGGGCAGGCTTTCGCCACCAATGGCATCCATAATAGAGGGGGGGGGGGGTTGGTGTTAGATCGCGTAACGCGTTACGCGATCTAACCCCCCCCTCCAAAAAACCTCTGTCATGCAAGTCAGCCATCGCACCGCGAGCGGCAAGGCCACCTGTAATGTCTTCATGAATAATTTGTGAATAATAATTGCCGCTGTTAAGAAGTTCAGGGCGGGAGTGGTGGTGGTGGTGGGGACAGGAGGTGAGGGGTGGGGGGACAGAAGGAGGGTGTTTTGTGATCTGATTTCCCGGGGTCTAAGATAGTCGCGCCCGGTCGTAGGATCAGACGCGAATTGTAAGGTGCCTCACAATCTTCAGGTGCAATATCGATGATGGCCAACGCTTTAATAGATCTCGATTTAGGAAGTATACTGTGTTACATGTATAAAAACTGCAGTGCTCGGTCATTTACAGCCCGTCTAGATCATGGGCTAAGGGTTGCCACCTGTCCGGGTTTGACCTCGGACGGTCCAGGGGAAATTGCCATCCGCGTGCCCGTGGCAGGAGTTGTTTGTACTGAGGTTCGTTTACCCGGAGTTGTGTTGAACGTGTATTACGCAATGCGCACTGCTCTCCAATAGGGCCTCTCACACCGTGTCGTCCAATGGGGGGTGGGGGGGGGAGTGCTCAACCATACTTCACCACGCCGGTCGGTGTGGTTTGGTGTCGGGAGGCGAAGGACACGGACGGACTGCTTCGGACGGTGATGATGACGACGACGAGACTGCGACAGTGCTCCTTGAAGGACGTGTCGACAACGGCGTAACGAGATGAATACCTAGCACCAGATAGTGGTGGTGGTGGTGGTAGTGGTGATGGAACCGTCGACTGTAACACGAGAGCAGCACCCAAAGCCTAACGCGGTCGAGGTTGCAAGCGCGCACGGTGCTGGAAGCACGTGCCAGCTACGTAACAAAGGGAAGACTTCAAGTCATGTGCGCCGGTGGTCCTTGATAGGTCCGGCGTTGTCTTTGCAACGTCTGCGGGTTCTGGCAGAAGGAAGGACGCGATGGCGGCATGAGCTGCTGCTGCTGACCTTCACCAAAGAGATTAGACCTGTAAGAGCATTGCAACACGTGTGGCCATATCGTCAGCTGCGTGCGCGTGACCCGCGCGTTGGGATGGCTGTGAATTGTTCTGTTTGTTTGCACTCGTCACGAATTCGCAACGTATATCACTCTCATCAGCAGCAGTGGCGGCATTATCATCAGCATCATCATCAGCAGCAGCAGTAATAGCGGTGGTATTATCAGTAGCAGCAGCGCCATGGGCAGCATCAGCATCATCGGCAGCAGAATCATCATCAGCAAAAGAACAGCAGCATCAGGGTCATTTCCATCATCAGCAGCGGCATCATTATTATCAGCAGCAAGGCAGCAGCATCATTCACCATCATTAACATCATTATCAGCAGCGATTTTAATGAAGCGCCTTTCGACTAAATATACTAGGCATTCAAAAGCAAATCTGCACATAGAAAAAAATATATATAGCGAACTTGACGACGTGATTCAATGTGTTCTACCAACACACACACGCAACAAAAATACCCGTGCAGTTGTACATCGTGCGACGGTCGTTACTGAGAGTTTTTGTTTTTACAAAAATAAAATAAATAAAAAATACCACTCGCCGGAGTGAGAACATTCACCGGAATTTCTGTCTGTCTCCCTTTGGTCATAGTCAGCACCGGTGCATCATCACTCCTCGTGCAAGCTGCTGTCCAGCGGCTTGTTGACGTTGTTATTATTGAGAATTGGGTGTCCCCTTTTTTCTGGCAACATAAGAGGTGTTGAGATGTTAAGACGAAAGAAAGCTGTCTCTGGTGTGGAGCAATCAGTTTTAAAGACAATGCATATATTATTAGAGTATGTTTTTTGTTTGCATTCTGACCACAAGCATTGTGGTTAAAGGCAGACATAATTCCTTGTAAAAGGTTTCAGTTTGGTGTTTTAACAACTTAACACCTCTTCTTGGTCTTCTTGGTTCTTACGGTAAAGTCACATAGAAGGGAAATAATGAAAATAAAACATAATTATTATTTCCCTTCTACGTGACTTTACATAAAGAACCAAGAAGATGAATCCCTGCAGTCACGAAAGCTTTAAATCGAAATCTTAACACCTGTTTTGTTGCCAGAAAAAAGGGGAAAACCCATTGTCATATTTTGGTACTGGCAAAGGAGGTCCCTTGATGTTATTATTAGTGTTGTGCAATATTGTTACAGTATTATTATACGGTAGTATTTTTACAGTATTATGTAGTAGTATCGTCACAGTATATTTACACAGGTACTATTACATTTTACCCACTGAGCGATGTAGCTCTTCTTCAGAAGCGACCTGGCTATCATAAACGATAGTTCCACGAAGTGGCTTATCATCGCGTGGAAATTTAAAGCGGCCAAATGCTCTAAACGCGTGGTGATGTTGATCCTAAATGTGGAGGGATGAAGCTGAGGACCCGGAGAAAAATCCACGCGACCACGGGGAGAGAGATACACGCAATCTCCAAATATACAGCAGCAGGCGTCAGGGTCGGGATCGAACCGACGACCTCCTGCACACCAGGCGAGGTAGGTAACATATCCTAGCCACCGTGATGATGATGATGAGAGAGAGAGAGACACGCAATCTCCACATACACAGCAGGTGTCAGGGTCGGGATCGAACCCACAACCTCCTGCATACCAGGCGAGGTAGTTAACATATCTTAGCCACCGTGATGATGATGATGATGGGAGAGATACACGCAATCTCCAAATACACAACAGGCGTCAGGGTCCGGATCGAACCGACGACCTCCTGCATACTTGGCGAGGTAGTTAACATTGCTATACGATTGTATTGTCGTGTTATTACTACAATATTATTACGCACTATTATTTGTACGGTTTATTACACATTTTATTAGACAGTTTTATTGTGACAGTATTATTACTACGACCACTACAGCACTTCGAGCATTGCCGAGTCTCAAGACGCGTTCGCCAAGAGGGTCCTGGCCACGTGTATCACAGCAGTGATGGGGGTGGCGATGTTTGCTCTGCGTCATCCCACCACGGCCTTCAGCGCTGGCAAAAGTTAATCATGATGATGATTACGATGATGAAGAGTATCACTCAGTTCTAGATTTGAAGCTTTCGTGACTGCAAGGATTCATACTCTTTGTTTTTTTCGCTAAAGTCACGTAGGTAAAAAAAGAAAACATCTCAATTAAATCACGACGTTTCGGGCGCAACACAAGCGTCGGTCATCAGGTGGGAAAGCGTGGCCTGCTGCTGATGCAGACTGTTTTAAAAGTATCACTCAGGTCAGGCCCGGCTCTGTCTCCTCTCGGATGGGGGGGGGCAGTGGGGGTGACGACAAAGGAGGGGGGGGAGGTTTGGTGGTGTTGGCCGCTGCATGTTTCGAGCCAGCGCTCGTCAACTGTAAAAAAATACAACAACCCACAACCACCACCACCACAGCAAGCCACGATAACCACAACGCGCTCCCGTACCCCCTCTCCCCCCCCCCCCCCCCCGTGTCTTCATCTTCATCCGATTGTCTCTAAATCTCCTTACCTTCTTAAGCTCGAGGATTTACGCTAATTTGGGACTTTCTTTAAATACCCACACGGGTCCAGGTGCTCATTATTCCAGGGGGTGGGGGGGGTGGTGGTGGAAGGTGGTTGGGGGGGGGGCATGCAAGGCGCTCAGCTGTTACATCAGCGGGGTACACAGGCTGCGGCATGGATACCGTGCAAGGCCGTTTTGGAATTCTTTCCCATCGTCTCTTTATTAATTTATTTTGTCCCCCAGGTTTCTATAACATTGCTCAGTCCACAAAAAAACACATTTTTGACTCTTCCTGCATTACAACTCCGATGGTGCTGGCTGTTGCCGGCCGTCTGGCGTTTCGCGCTTGCCCTCAACAAAATAACCATCCGACTGACACTGCAATATACGGCGGTTGCCACCTGTCCGGATTCGAGCCGGACAAATTGGAGGGCCCCACCGTTTGTGTTCGGGTGTCAAGCGATTGCTTCGTGCCCGAGAGCTGGTATCGCCTATTGCAGCGGTCGGGAACCTATGGCTCGTGAGCCATATATGGCTCTTCTGGTGACGGCATATGGCTCCCACACAATTTTGAGTTGAAAAAAAAATACAAAAATCAGTTTGGAACTGATTTTAAAATACTTGTGATATTGCTTAATAATACTGTGTCATTTTAAAGTAAACAGAAATTAGTTTTAAAGATAAATTTCACGGGTCACGGGGCCTCAACGCCTGCATGAAGCTCAACCTCACCACGTACGAACCAGACTACAAGGCCATCAGCAAAACCATGCAGCACCAGAAGTCGCATTAAAAGTGATACATATTTAATGTATTATACGTTAAAAATACTATATGGCTCTCAATGCAATATATTTAGAAATATTTGTCTTTTATGGCTCTCCCAGTCAAAAAGGTTCCCGACCCCTGGCCTATTGTATCGAGCTGTACAGAGTTTACACGGTCAAGCTGCACAGCTTACATCACAGACCCTGGAGGTTGACCGCTTGCCGAACGAATGCACATGGGTCTCATTCATTACGCACGAAGCGATTCGCCACAAATGAACCACCGCCGATACCTTGTCACCGATCTCGTCAAGGAGCATAAAGCATCAATCACGCCAAGGGGCCGTCCATAAATGACGTCACGCACCTAGGGGAGGGGGGGGGGGTCAGACATTTGTGACGATGTGTGACGAGGGGGGGAGGGGGGTTGAGAAATGTGACGTGACATCAAAATGCGCAACTTTAAATAAATATAGACAACACGTTCT